ATTCTCCACACTTCACGATATCTGACATTACGCGTCCTTCGGAATTTTTCACTGGCCGTTCATGTTTTTGAAGGGTTTCAAATATGCGACCTAATCTATGGTTAATCGTTTCTAGAGCTCGTTCGTATTTATCCTTTTCACAATTAAAATAATTAAACAAATGATCTTTCATTTGAGGTAATATAGCATTTCGATTGACGAATGATACAAGTGTTTGACAAGTTTCTTCCTTAATTTCATATTGCTCGCTATTCTCCGTGTAATAGTCATAAAATGCCAATATGTGCCTTGCTGGATAAAAAGTTAGATAATAACAATTTTCTTGTGCTCGGTTGACCATTTTCTCCCTACAAAGTAATATTGTATTAATATTATCAATTTTTTTTTAAAAAAAGAGAAATTCTCAAATAAAATTAAAATAATTACCAGATTTCCAAGTCCGTTCTCAAACGAATTGCTATTTTCTCCAAATTACAAGTACCTTTAGCCGATTCGTTATATTTTCGATACCCAAAATGACCTAATTGAGTTAATTTTTTCATTATTGTAATTATTCTTTGGGCGATGTCAAATTGGTTTACAAACTCTTCCATTTTGACTTTAATGTCATCGATATCATCAATTGAAACACCAGGCTTTGAAATTAAAAGGGCTCTGCTGCGTAATTCTTGTAACTCATTAATTTTAAACTTCATGGTTTCTGATTTAGAGGGATATGACAACTCCAGTATGCAATCTTCATCTTCTTCCTCTTTCTTAAAATCATATGTACCATGACTTGCAGCATTTTGAATCTTTTCTTTTGTGACGTCACCTTTGTTATAGACGGAATCATACATATTTTTTAAAGCCATAACATTACAATTACATAATGATAATTTACTTGCTAACGAAAGGTTAATATAATTGAATCCTCCTATTAACGTATCCATAGTTATGTGATCATTATTCATAAACGGATGCAAGAATTGCTTTACTTGAATTAGTGAAGTAATTGTGCCTTCTTGAATCAATCTTGTATCTGAGTGCTCATCGACACCATTAATCAAATTTTTCAAATCATCTGTTTTACCTTCTAAGAATTTAATTAATTCTTCAGATCGTGATAATTCTTTGATAACATTCCAGTTGTTCTCATTGTATTTTGAAAATTTTTGATTTATAGTTTTAACGGTTTTACTAAATGTACCCAAATTTCCGTGATCAAACAAGTTGTCAAGCCAGTTTTCTTTGACTTTAAAAATCTCAGCAATCTTGGATAAATTCCCTGTGTGTTGTTTCCAAAACTTATTTCTGGATAAATGACCTATTGTCACCATGAACGAATTGCTTTGATTGATACTAATATTACCATATTTTTCCATTAACTTAATCTCATCATCGAAATTAGAAACATCACACCAAAATAAAATTTCTTCTGAACATTTGAGATTTTCCCAATATTCATACTGCTTGCACCGAACAACATATTCCACCAAAGCAATTCTCATTAACGTTTGTGCTATAAATTCAACGTTAATATTATCAGATTCTTCTTCAGGTTCTTCATTTAAGCGTTTTTCAAAAACATTATAAAATATTTGAGATTTATTTAGTTCATTTGTTCTCTCCGCTATAGATATAATTCTTTTATGAAAGCTCCAATGGGTTTCTGATAAGGATTCTTTTAGGGAGATTTTATTCAGATTCTTGCTTCGTTCTCTTAATTCATCAAGATAACTTTGCACATCCTTTATTTTTTGTAGCGGACAAAATCTTTTATAAAAATCGTCAAGCCTTTTCAACCTTTGTTCATAGAAGTGACAACTCTGACGAACCTTAACCAAATTATCCTTGCTAATGATTTCATCATTATTAACATTTGCGGAATTTAGATAAACACGAAGCAAATCATCCTCAAGGTTAAGCAATTGCTGGAGATGATGTAAATTAATAGAATTATTTTTAATCATATTAGCTAACTCGAGTATGGCCGCTCTAGTTTCTTGCACAAGTTGATGAGAATGAAACCTTTTGGTATTACCAGATGCTCGTAGAATCACAATCCAAAATTCAGCATATTCACGCAAAAATGTGTCTGAAAAAGTTTTTAAATAATTCTTTTGCAACCTTGACATGATGTAAAATAGAGTTTTTTCACAAAATCTATATAATTGATTAAATCTTATTAATTTAATATAAATAATAGAAGAACATAATGTTAAATTAATCACTTACTTATTTGGAATCTTTAAACTTTTACCAGTAGAACCACAAATAACTTGCATTTTGTTTAATAAAGGTTTAACGCGATCTAATTTCATTGAATCTATTTTTTCTTCAATAACTTTTGTAAATACACGTACCGCTGCTGAACCAAATTGTTCAACATTAGGTGCAGTGTTAAGAATTGATAGTTCTGAAGAACATTTAATACGATCGAACGTTATTTCCATTAATTCATCCAATTTTGATTGTTCATTAATTAATGAACAGATGCTTGACAATTTCTCCAAAACTGCGATTATGTATTCTCCCTTATGATCCGTTGAATTGGATGATATTTGATCCATTCTATCCATGAGATTTTTATACCATTGAGTATAAATTTGAGCTATTTTATTTTCAATACCTTTCGACATTTCCATCAAATTTTCCAGTAATGATGGAAACATGCTTAATAGCTGATAATCATCTAAGATCGACACTAATTCCAAAACAACAATATATTCATCTTTTGTCCAGCGTAGATGTACGGAATTTAAAAAAACAAAAATCGATTGGTACTTGGAACAATCCCAAATAACACGGCGACCATTGATTAATATGTCAAGTACTCTTTTCCTAAATAAGTCAGAGACTATATCTCTAATGTCATCAGGAAGCATAGTAAAATTTCTATGCAAATTATCAGGGTCATCATTTGATATAATTTTTTTAATATTTTCAATTAAAAGTTGTCGAAGTTTCTTGTCATTTTTATTATTTGAAGATTGCCATACGATTGATAAGATTTTCACGTTTTTACATTGGCTCATCAACCACTACATAGATAATAATAATAAAAATAAATAATGCTAATAAATACAATCAGACAAAGACGTGAATATTAAAAAATACCTTGATAATTTTCACATGAGAACTTTCGTCAAATTCTAATTTCAGTACCAGCTCAAAACAATTTTCGATATATTTTTCATCATCGCATTTAGAAAAAGTTATTGTGTCGATGAATTCATATTGAGGATCGAAATTTTGTGCAACGGTAAAGATTTCGAGCCATGCTAATAACCCATTATGAATATTGTGATGAATTAAAATGTCAAGTCCTTTTAATACAATATACAAACTATCCTTTGGAAATGTGTCAGAATCAATCGTGAAGAAAGCTTGAAGCAAAGTAACAGATTGAAAATCGTTTGGTAATTCATTTCTTCCGTTAATATTAGGACAATGTCCTAAAAGAAAGCACAAAAAAAGCTGTTTACCAATGGAATCAACCGATATACGTTTGCTAATAAATTGAATATTTGTTACGGATAAAGTAAATTCGCGATGTTGTCTTAGGATACTATCATAATATAAAATATCATGCTTGATGCTTTCTAAAGTTGCGGATTCATAAATGATGTCTAAGAACATATAATCGGTGATTCTGTCAATTCTATGAAAGTAATTATTATTCCAAATATCAAATTTTTGACGTTGAATTTCTAGCACACGGACGTCAAGCGGGTCATATCCTTCAAATTGTAAGTGAGATGAAAACACTGCATAATTATATTTAACAGTCTTATGAAATCTTTTGATCGGGATAACGATAGGCTCCGAATACCAATAAGATGAATCAGATGAATAATTCCAACCTTTTTTATATTGTTCAAGTTTAACTTTAGGTTCTCGCCAATTGCCAAGTTCCTCTATATTACCAACTATAACAGGAACTCCGACATGAACATTAGGTAAATGCACATGAAATATGATTTTTACGGTATTACCGTTATCAACTGTAATTTCCTCAGATTCCATGCGATTAAAATCTTTGGCTAAATACTTCATGCTCTTGATATTCTTGAAAGAAACCGAAAAGATAGATGATTCATTGTGAATATTTGAAAGATTTTCACTTTTTGAATTTTCCACAACAGAAACATCATCATCTTTAATACTATTCTCATCTTCGAATTCATGTTGTTCATGCTTATTTTTACTTTTACCTTTAACGTTAGATAAAACATTTGATTCTTTAAAGATGTTAGTTGATTTGTCAGTAAAATCACTATTAGAGCCTATGATAATTTTATTTTTTTCTTTTCGTTTATCCATTGTTTAAGATAATCAAAGGATAAATGATAAACTCATTTTGTGGATAAATTTATATCAAAAATTTTCGTTCGAATTGATTTACGTATTTGATCTCCAAAAAGGGAAAGGATACTATCTCAATTCTAACTTAATTACGTCATAAAGAAGTCATTATGACATCAAATAACCGATAAAATCCTGACTTAAGGCTTGCTACTTGCGTTGATTACTGCGGTTCAATATTCAAACGAATAGTGTTCATTTTTATTTTTTGAAGATAAATAATTTTTATTGTTCAGTTATTTAATTCAAGACTTTGTAATCTCAAAACAAACAATTCCTAAATAGGCGATTTTTATTTTTAGTGTATGAAACACAGAAAAGTTAATTAAGTCATACTTTAGGATATTTATTAATTTATCTAGAATTTAAAGCGTAATTCTTTTTTAAAGTCTCAATAAGGTTGTAGCTATATAAACATTTTATTCAATTTATACAAAAAAATTGCGGTTAAAAAGACAGCCAACCACTGGTACAAATAAACGATTGTTTTACAATTCAAGTGGTGCATTCCATTAAAAATGACAATTCCATTTTGTCCTCCAAATTATGTACACAGTCTGGACATTCTTGGGTCAAAAAGAAAATTTTGTTTCGGAATTAACCATAATGCTTGGACACAATTTCCGGTTAATGAACAGTTCCAACCAACCTTTAATTTAGATTTCAGAGATTGTGTTGATCTCTAATCGATGGTCAAAGAGAACGTGCAATCGATAGTAGAAAAAATAAAAATTCAAACATAAATAATAACATAAGTAATGTCAGCAAGGTAAATATTTTTGGGGTCGGGGGCGTCAAGGTTTCCGGAATTTCTATTCGCCTGTACATTTTTATGCTAGTAAATTTGTCATGATAAAACGGGGCTTTACAAAATATACATAGCATATGGAAGGTTTGCTATTAAAATTCACATTACGGATCATATGATTTACTATGTTCGTAACTCGATTTTAATAGCAAACCTCCCATATGATTAAAAAAGAAAGAAGAATAAATTTTTTTTTTTTATGTTTTTTGATGCGCAAAGACGTAGTCTTTTCCTTGACGTTGTCAAGCATGTTGTGCTAACATTTTATTTTTATAGCTGCCAGCTAACAGAAATTTAATTCATGATAATGGTTTTTTTAGGAACCACTAAGTGGAAGTTATCGAGTATTTGTTTTCAACATCGTGATCATTGCGCGATGAGCTTGCGTTTCATTCTACTTATCGTTTGAGAAATAAAGTTGTTGTTATTAATCTAAAGGCATGGAAATGAATTTAGTAGCATAGATATCATTAAAATGTATACATTATTATTTTTTAAAGGAATAAAATATTTTTGTTTGATAATACTAATCGTGTTACTCTTTACAAGGAAATCGGAAACTAGATGCGGATATATTTGACATTTGCTGCTTTAATTTTAGTGAAAATGATATTTGAGCTTGTTGCCTAACGTTTAAGTTTAGATTGGTTTTTTTTTTATAACTTATAATCTGAAATAATATAATTGAAATATTAGATTACAATCCCTTGATATTCCGATATATATAAAAAATTCGATAACGATAATATTTTACTTATGAACATATAAAATATCGGAATACCTTGGATATAACAAACGGCGATAATCGAGCAACTTTCATAGGATCATTCAATCAAGAATAGCTTTATAATTTTGCTAAAGAAATAAGTTCAATAGGACAATAATATATTTGTAAAAAACGGATTGTTTATTTATTATATTTAATCAAATATGATTAAAAATAATTTTTCAAAAAAAATTAGTTAATATTATGCATAATACTACGAAACAAATGGGCTACATCAATCCAAAGAAACTTACATCATGAAAATAAGAATCGACATTCAAGTCGAGACCTAAACATAATGTAAGGAACGTTAGTAAACACCTCTTAATGAAAATAAACTCCAAGTTGCTTATCATTCCGGAAGGCGGACACCACGTTCAAGAAACGTAGTGAATTAACGTTTCCAAATAAACTTTGATCCCGACATCCAATTTACTCACCATTCCAGAAGGAGTCATCTAATTCAGGACGTGAACTTAAGAAAAGAACCAAAACAAAGCATTATTTTTTTAACGTTTCTAAAAGAAAAGCCAAACCACTTTCCTTGAAGTTACTTACCATCCTGGAAGGTGGAACCTATTTCCAAGCAAAAACCTATAAAAAAAAACAATGTTTCCTTATCGTTATTGCGAGGTATTAATTTATTTAATAAAAACAATTTTTTGTTAAAAGAAATAAAATGAAAAAAAAGTAAAAAGAAAAGAAAATGTATAATAATAATAATTATACTAAAGAAACATTACTTATTTTTAAAAAAATGAAAATAAAAAAATAAAATAAAATTTTTGTACGTGATGAACGATCTTTAAATCTTTTAATTTATTGTAGGTAGTGCGTCTTGCTCGTGAATTCTTCAGTAATTCCCATTGAAGTTTCTCCACAAGTGTATTTGATGCAAAATTGGACAATTTTGCTATTTTAAACTTTGTTTTAATTTCGCGATGATGATATAGAGACCAAGACACTTTTTTGTAGATTTTGATGTAAAATTTGATTGATGAGTCAATTTAAATAAACCTTCCTTCAATAGATGTTGAATGTTTTGAAGGGAAATTGATGACACGCGATTTAAAATTCCTTGTGTTACAATTTAGATACTTCGATAATTATTAAATTATTTTAAATTATTATTGTAATTGGATAAAAAAAATCAATTTTTTATGAATGATTTAAATTCATTATATTGTTCTGTTGAAAAAAATCCTATAAATCAAAAAAAAAATTTCTATTAACTACGCCTCATTGCTCAGGAACTAGTTTAATATACTTTTATAGTTATGTATACTAATCGTGAATTATATTATAATATAGTATTTGATAAATTTAATAAAAAATCTATTTGAATAATTGGTTCCTAAGGATTTTGTATCATTGAATAATGACTATTAGACATGTAAATATTAATGGAAGAGGCCTTGATGAATTATCTTATCCTATCCTACATGACGTAATGTCATCATATAACATTTCGACAACAAATATTATTTTTCTACTAATAAAGTTATTAATCTTTACTATAAGGTCCAATTTGTTTGGTTGCTGTCCCAAAAAATTATTGCTAACGAATGCACTTCTGGGAAAAAATTGCGAAAAAATGTATTTTTCCCCAAATTAGTTTGGGATAAAATACAGGTTCAATCCCTGACTTTTGAACAGGACGGCACCTTATAATCATGTAACCACAAAAATGAGATATTGTTACATTTTTAAATATTTAAATGCAAGTAATTGAATTGGACGATGAGGGGGTTAACTTGTGAAAAAATAAATAGAATATTAAAAATCTTCGCAATACGCAAAAATTGTAACATCAAAAGAAATTTGCAAATACAAAAAGAATTTTGTAATATTGATGAGATAATGTAACCGATGTCAACAATCCTCTGAGAAAGATGTATTAAATTTAAATTTAAAAACGAAGCAGAAAATGTCTTGACCTGGCTGGACAGGGCCATTTGAGATCTGCAAGTAAACCATCAGAAGATTTTTAATTTGGAAAAGCAGACGAATGCATCGCAGCGCACCCCGTTTCTCGTTTTTCCTACAAAACACAAAATAAGTATTAATCAAATCGGAAGAATTTTAGATGTGGAAACTAGTGAATATTATATCGGTTGGATTTTATTTGCGATGAATTTTGGATCTTGATAAAAATGCGAGATATCTAGGTATGGGGAATCAATGATCTATACCAATATTGCTTATTGCACCTCGATTACATAGCAAATATTAACTGAAATTAGAATTTAAGGAGAACTGAAAAAGGTAGAAATGATTAATGATTATGATTGCTAGTTAAATTTAAAGTTTAGCAAGTCATCTAAATTATAAGAGAAAAACTTATAAAGTTTTGTTTTCATAAAAATTTTAAAGTTTATCATATAATTTGACATTGACAAAATTAATTCTATAAAGATTTAGCATTTCAGATAGCATGAAATATATAAAACAATTATTTCACGAAGTCTCTGTGGAATATCATGATTTCATGGCGTAGCCGTGAAAATCATGAAATAATTTTTACTTAGGCTTCAATTAGTTTTTTTCAGTTATAAAAATTACACACTTACTTATTTATATCAAATTATTTATCTATATTAACAAATATCTTTACAGGTACTTTATTTTCTTACTATGCAGTAACTGCATAGTCCTATTAGGCTGTGATTAAGCTACTACTAAGTAAGGTAGTAACTATATATTTACTACATAGTCACTTTGCAGTTACTGCGTATTAAGAAACCAAGTTCTGTAAAGATTTTTACAAACTGTTTTATTATTATTTATTAAATTGAATTTAATTTAAAGTAAAACGTATAATTAAATACTGATTTCGTCGGTATATATTTCCTTATAGGAAATCGGGTGGAATTAATCTCTGTTATAGTTATTCTAGTACAGTTGGTGTTGCTGCTCTCATAAATGAGATATACTTTTAAAGTGATGAATCAACCAAATATTTGTTGCAATTTTACAATTAAAATTTGAAATATGGGAATTGCATTCATAATAAAGTCAATTATTTTACCAATGGAAGTGTGTAAATTAGTTGAGGTACGCAAAATATGCAAATTTTCTTTAAAGCTAAAAGGAGAAAATTAGGTTTTAAAATAAATTTATTGCTAATTGTCAATTCGATTTTAGGGACAACGTTATAATCGCGCATTGAATGAAAGGCAAGCAGCAGATTTCATGAAATTTTCCTGTAAGACATCCCGTGTCCGTGCAAACAAAATTAGACAACGTTTAGATATTTTTAATTATCGAGAAACGAGTATATGAGGCAATTCGGTTTGAATGTATCTGAGGAAATGGCTGTAGTTCTCCAAGTTTACATTATCATATTTCTTCTCGTAATGCTACCATTGTTCCTCGTGACGGGAAATGGAATTTGATTTACAATAAAGTTGCTACTGGGGCCACACTTGATTCATGGTCATGCGTTGCTTTTGGAAATTTCGAAATTGAAACCATACTATATTTTATTAGAGAATTAGTTACTACATTTCAGGCGCTGGATTGAATATCCTTAATAAGTATCTACCTATTACGCAAGGTAATCTTCTAAGTAGTATGGAACAGATCTTGAAACAAGCCTGGATTAGAGCTGGCAATATGGCCAGATCACCATCTAAGTTAATGTTATGTATCCTTCCTAACTACAGCGTACCATTTTATGCCGTAATTAAACGTGTGTGTGATACAGTAATTGATGTTGTTACCCAATGCGTTCAATCCAAACATATTTTTCAAGCAAAAAGACTATATTGCGCTATTTTGTGTCTTAAAATGAACGTTAAACTTGATGACATGAATTCATTCGTTAATCCGTACCAAATGAATTTATTTCGAATCGCCCGCATAATAATTCTGGTAATAACGAAACTCACCATCTATTGCTACTTAATGCGCTTTAATGGATGCTAAAACATATCGACATGCCGCTTCCATTCGCGTTTGAGCAGATAGACAAGAAATCATCTATGACTTAGGAGGTATGTAAAGGGAGCTATTGAAAACCTTCTACCAGACTTGTGGAAGGAAGCTGGAAAGTATCTTGTTCTACCGAAAAGGTGTCTCAGAGGGTCAATTTTATCAAGTGTTTGATTTTGAAATTGAAGCAGTAAGGAGGAGTATGTGCCATATTTTCTAAAGTAATTTGTAATAATTGAAATTTATAAAATACCCACCTTTATTTCCATTTCTCAATAGCAGATGCATGTACAGCACTTGAAGCTACTTATAAACCATCAATCACCTTTGTAGTTGTACAGAGAGGTCGTCACACTCGCTTATTCTCTAAGGACGTGAGAGATTTAGATAGGATAGGAAACACTCTTGTTGGGACGGTTGTTGAATCAACAATAACACATCCTTTTGAATTCAATGTTTATCTTCAAAGCCACCACATTACAACGCAAGGAACTCTGCATCTAACACATTATTACGTATTGTATTATGAAAACTGATTTGATCCCGATTCACTTCAAACCTTATCATACAACATGTGCTATACATTTGCGCGAAGCACCCATTCTGTTTCTATTGTTCCACCAGTGTATTATCCGAAATTAGCTTGTTCTTGGGCTAGGGATTCATTCACAAGGTGAAAATTGGGATATAATTTCAGAATGCCTTGATTCTGTATCAACTGATGTTAAGGTGAAACCTGAATTGCAAAGAGTTATGTACTTTATATAGAGAAGATGAAGCAAAATTTTATCGGTCCATGAATCGCATGGATTTATCATAAATTTTGGGATTTATTTTAATGCTTAGAATTTTTTGAGGCAGTGTATACTTTACTAAAATCGGTAAATTTTGAATATGCAATTATTAGCCAATAATATGCGTTATTTAGCACATTATAACCTTTTGAATTAATAAATTAGGAATCTGACTTTAAATTATTAAAATATTAGCAACATTTAAGGACCATAAAATAGCTTATATTAAGCTTATAGTATTTGTATACTTTTATTAACATACATAACATCGAAACTAATTTAATAGCTAATTTAAATCATTCATAATTACTACGCCAGATTTATAATATAAATAATTGAATTTTATCTTTGATTTTTTTTTTCGTAACTTACCTTTAATTATTTCGTTAAGAAAGTTTAAAATCAAAAAAATGCCACCAAAAACAAAAATCACTCGTAAGTATTAATTTCTTAGTTTTATAAATACCTTTAACTCAAGCTGTTTTCTTTACGATATTGATATTACACCAATAGATTTAGTTCCTTCTGAACCTTTAGCTGCTGATTCACCAAAACCAAAAGAACACGAAAATCAAAAGCTAAAGGTAAATATTTTTATATTCTTAATAATGATGTTATATTAAAACATTATATACCAAATAATTATTTATACTTATATTTTATTAAAGAAAATATTGAACCAAATTTGGAAACTGAACTTTCTAGATTGCTAGTTATTTCAAATCAACCGAAACTTACACAATTTGATTAACAAGCCTTTATTGAACATTAGCAATAATATTGCTCTCCTATAGAATGCGAAAACCAACAAAATTATTTTGAAAAACAAAGTTCAAAATGTACCAGATTTTCAAATACAAAGATCTCACTACAACAAAGTTGAATTTTCCTTTGCAACTGATACTTATAAACATAAAGAGCTATCACCTTTAAAACCAAAATTTCAATTAATTGCGCCTGATTTTTCAGATGAGGAATCATCAGATGACAAAATCTTTTCTTCAATTGGTTTAAATAATAACATAACAAAGTTCAATTGAAAAAGGTCCTTTGGCTACTTTATCACCTATGGATATTAATGTACCTAATATTTCTCATCCAATTACTAAACTGAACTTAGCAACCAAACTTGATACAACAACATCATCACAAAATAACCTTTCTTTTCAAGATAAAACTCTTATTCAATGGCTAAAAATGCGTAAAGATCTTATACTTCAGGCATTAAATGCAATGTTTTCATCAGATATATCATATTAGCCTGTTACATCAAATCAAGTTAGTAAATATTTTTATTATTTGTTTCAACAAATATTAATATTCTAACGTAACAATTATAAATTCTTTATAAATTAGATTTCTACACTTACAAATAATACTCCTAATTTGGCACGAGTACTTTCTGAACAATCGCGAATTTTATTTTTGCAAACTCGAATGCCAACAAAAAGAACTCGCACATCGTTAATTAAAGTGTTATTCAAACTCATTTTTAATTGGAAAAATTTTCGAAGTACATATAATGATGATATAGCCAAATTGGCAAATCAGTTGATTCGGAAAGAAAGGTATTATAGTTGTTTTTTTTTTGTTATTTTTATTTATAATTATATATACATATTTACTTATATTATTTTAGCAATCCATCTGATATTGATATTGAAAGATTTGTTGGTGGAACTGTATGGGAAAAGCCACTCAAAAAACACATTGATATACTTGATTATGATAGCTCGTCACATTTTTCAATCCTCTATTCATAAAGATAATAATTTTAATATTGAAATTAAATAAACATTTACTACCTTTAAAAATCACCAATTGGGAATAAAAGCATTAATTACTTTTGTTGAAAATAAATTAATTCAATTTCAATATGTAAATTTTTGATTTCTTTCTTATCTTTTATAATATATAAATATATAATATTATAAAAGAAAATGACTTTTGACATATATCTTGTAAAATAAAATATTAAATATTAAAATCCAAAATTGTATTTTAATATCAAAAGGTTCTATGTGTTTTGCCATTCATCAAAATTTTACCACCTATTAAAACTTTCGCAATTTTGCCTTTAATAAAATTATTGGCAAATGATTCGACGGGTTTCAATTACAATGCCTGTTGAAATCTATGGGTTTGCTCAGCAACCTTATAATTATATGAAGAGAAATTTTTAATATCAATAATTAAATTAAAAAAAAAAGTTTATTATATTTTAATTTTCATTTTATGACACTGCTGCTGTTACTATGTATTGCGGTAAATTCGTGTGTGATATACAGTACATATATTTTCATTTACTAATTGTTCGTGCTATCGATATTTACTATTGAGTTGAATATTTTGTAATACCTGGTATATATCATTTGAAAATCATACTGGAAATTTTATATTAATGAAATTTATATTTTCAAAAATGTTGTGATCCCTCGAAGAAATATATTTCACATTCAAACAAATAAAAATTTATTTTATTTCAAAAATTGATAAATAATTGATATTTTTAGTATACTATTAACATAAACGTTAACAAAAGTTTTAACTATTCATGGCATGGTTAAAAAAAAGCTTAGTTAAAAAACATCTTGAAACAGCATTCACTAATATTGGTTATTATCATTATTAAGATGTAAATATTATGATATTTTGAGGAATTTGTAATACAGAGGGTGGACAAAAGTATCCGCACACCCTCCATAACGTGAATTAATGCTAGTAAAGTCATATGAGCGCAA